TCAACTTACAAACAGAACGCTTAACAGCCAAAGTTACAGCAGCATTGAAAAATGTGGCGCAAGAGGGATCCTCGCACCGGCAAACTTTGCAGCATCCCTAGACTCATGTGATCGAAATCGGAGGTCTTGGCAAATTCCGACAAGCGAAATCAATGACGGAAGCCAGATTCGCTTAACGGCTGACGGGTAAAATGATTTGCTGAACTATGGCAAAAAAAAGGTAAAAGGTGCGAACTACTTAACCTCGCTTAGCAACGGAAATTCTGGTTCCTTTTCTGATCAAAAGTCGAGGAATACTTGTAGTTAGGAGTAATCGGAATTAATTCAGGCCCTTCCTAGCAATTCTGGTCGGCTACAGGACAGGGAATATCGCCGCTCGCAAAGCGTTGGGTTACTTGCTGGAGAGGCCCGCATGGCTAAACCGTTTGAAGGCAGTAGAGATCAGCTCTTGAGTAAAGCGTTTGAAGGAGGGAGGATTGATAACTGCCTCTCAAAGGGAAAGGTGAAAACAGCCATTTGAACTTCAGCGAACTCATCCAAAAGAATCTCTATTGGGTTGTTGCCACCTCATCAGAAACTATCCTTCAGAGTAAGCCAGATTAGGAAACCAAAGTCACACAGGTCGGTATTACTTTTACTAGAAGGCTATGGCAACAAAATACTGAAAGTCTGGATGTGATCCCTCCCCCCCCCCTTTTTTTTTTTACCATTGTGAAAATTAGAAAGTCTTGAGACACTTTCTCAAGTTCTATTCCGGATTTTTATTTTTAGACATGTGCGCGCACACACACATGTACGCACAATGGTGTGGTGGCTTAGTGGTGAAGACACTGGTCTCCCACTCAGAAGATTGAGAACTCAATCCTAAATAGCTGCAGATAATTTCTCTCCCAAGGCGCAAGAACTGTGAACTCTTGAAGGGCATCCGACCAGCTCAGCTCCATCCAGTCTGCCCTGAATTAAAGGATTACAGGATTGGAAAAAAAAGGAGTTTTACACACACTTACACATACAAACACACATCCCTCACCCCTATGACTGGCTGGGGGTTTGAGGGTTCTGTGCTAGATTTTAGCTTTCCCTAACACTGCACACTTCTCAGGATAGAGCCCCATGATCTGGCAAATCCCACCACTGGCTGGCCCCGCCCCTACTTGTTTTTCGGCCTGTTTTCTGGGCCATTTTTCAGGCCAAATACGGCCCAAACGATGGCTTGAAAGCGGCCCAAAAAAGGTCCAGTTTGGGGGCCAAAAACGGCCTGAAAATGGTCCCAAAAACAGGCTGAAAAATGGGCAAGGCCAACCAGTGGTGGGATTAGCCCCAATTGGCTGAATCCTACTTCTGCCTTTGAGGCGAGAGGCCAGGAGGTGGGGCTGGGTGTGATGATTGATGTCACCCACCCAGTCACATGACCAATCGGCCACGCCTACCCAGCCAGGGAACTGGTAGTTAAGTTATTCAAGACCCACCACTACCTATGAGGCTTTTCCTCCTGTTCCTCAAGGCCATTCCTCCTTCAGAAACATGAATGCAGAGATACCTATATGTTGGACATCTGGTAGATGCACTGTCCATTTCCCCCCCCCCTTTCAGCTGTGCAGGAGAGATGTTCCCTTGCTTTCAAGACCATTCCATTTATGCAAACAAGGAAGCCATTACTCTCCAGATGGCACAGAACCACATTTTCCTGGCATTTACAAGGCCGGGTTGAGCAGAGTTATCATCTCAACAACACTTGGAAAGAGGCAGCTTTAGAAGCCTTGAAAATAAAGATGCCTCATTCCTGGAGTCATTTCTGAGTAATTATGTGATACGTTACTAGGTAGGAAGAAAGCAGCAGAGAGCAGTGTGTGTGTGTGTGTGCGTCTGTGTGTGCTGTTTCCCTACACCTTTTTCAGAAAAGCTGGTGGTGGTCACGGAACTTCCCGACGTACTACCACATCACACCACTTGGGTTGCAGTCTATTGCATCAGTTGCTTTCCAGCGTAAATATTTCAAGCTGAGGCAGTTGCCAATGGAGCAACCGCTTGTGTTTTGAATCTGGCCTGGCCTTATTCCCCCATGAGCAAAACCAGGCTGCATTCTCAAGATACTTGGGAAGTTGAGGTCGGCAGCTCCGATTACTCTTTCTCGGAGCAACCCAAATCCTTTTGTAGAATTTACACTCGGCCAACGAGTCAGTGACAGCCAGTGGTGGTTAAGGCACCAGGCTAGAAAATGGGAGACAGTTAGTTCAAGGCCCACCGTGCCCCCTGAAAGCCAGCTGGGCGACTTTGGGCTAACAACCAGGAGACTGTGAATTGTAGTTTGTGTTAAGATGTAAAAAGCCAGAATCGGCTAGCCTGCTGACAGCCAGCTAGGTGACTTGGGCCGCGCACACTCTCAGCCTAATCCATCTCACAGGGTTGTTGGGAGGAAAATAGGAAGTATTGTGTATTAAATGCAGGATAAAAGTCTCATACAAGTAGTTCATTTGAGTGGCCAAAGTTACGTCAATGAAAAAAGTGAGTTAAGGCCGTTTCTTTCACAAGACCATTGCAGCAGCCCCATGGCCACCTGATCAAAATCCAGATGCTTGGCAACCGACTCATATTTATGATGGTTGCAGTGTCCAGAGGTCATGTGATCCCCTCTTGCGACCTTTGACAAGCCAAGTCGATGGGTAAGCCAGTTTCATCTGAGGACCCTGTTACTAATTTACCAACTGCAAGGGTTGACTTAACAACCGTGGCAAGAGTCGTAAAATGGGAAAAAAAACTCACTTAACTAATATTTCACTTGGCAACAGAAATGTTGGGCTCAATTGTGGACATAAATTGAGGACTACCTGTACAGTGATATGTCATTGTTAATTGGTTCCAGGAGGCACAACAAGTATGAAAAAAGATGAGCACCAAACATATTTTTTCCCGTAAGGGAGTGAATCACGTCAGCTGACAGGAGCCAGTTCTAGCTTCTGCTTTGAGTACCAGGACAGAATTTTCTCCTCCAAGTGCCTTCAGTACCAAATTCAATGAGTCAAAGCAGTTGATCACCAAGGTACCAATGTAATTATGTCACTAAACAGTGGCCAGATTGCAGGATGTATCCCTACCACAAATGTGACATGGACTTCGGAAGCCAGATCTCAGGCTCTCCAAAGCTTTGTGGCTTGGGGGAACATTTGGCATCCTTGAGATAATGTGACTGCAATCATCTGTCAGGTGGTGCAGCTGCTTCCAAACTGGATGCCCGTCGTGAGGAATTAGCCATTTGCGTAGTTGCGGGCACTGCCCCTCTTTTTTTAGACAGGAAAACAGGAATACCCCTAGAGCAGGCTGATGCCGAGCCCTTTGGCCAGCTGAGGAATTCTGGGAGTTGAAGTCCACAAGCCTTAAAAGTGGCCAAGGTTGGAGACCCCTGCCCTAGAGTACAGATAGTCCTCGCCTTAAAAACATAATGGAGCCTGCCCATCACAGTTGTCATTTGTGTTGGTCTTAAAATTGGGTTATGTAGGTGACAGACTCCAATTTACAACCTTTTTTGCAGCGGTCATTAAGTAAGTGCTGCGGTTGTTAAATGAACTAACGCTTTGCTAGGCCATCCGTGCCAAAAGATGAATAAATGCCGGTTTGGGGCAAAACCATAGTGAAACATCATCATGTAACTCTGGATCGCTGCAAATGGATGTAAATGTGGGCTGGTGGCTAACCGACATGGCTGTGAGCACTTGTGACACACAAACTGCATTTGCACAGCACACTTACACCAGGTCAAGTCACAAACTTGCTCACTTTTTTCGTAGTGTGAACTTTTCATTACTTTTAAATCGATGGCTTAAGTGTGTTCTGCAAACTGTCGGTGTGGTTACTCCGTGATTTAATGTATTGCCCAAACCCCAGAAAATAAGATTAATCTAGTAACCAGATTGTTTGTTAAACCAATACCGGTAGTCCTCGACTTAACAACAGTTCATTTAGTGACTGTTCGAAATTACAATGGCCCTGAAAAGTGACGTATGACCATTTTTCAAACTTTTGCAGCATTCCCCATGGTCATGGGATCAAAATTCACTTGGGTCAACTGATTCATATTTATGGCGGTTGCAGCGTCCCAGGGTTACGTGATCCCATTCGGCGACCTTCTGACAAGCTATGGGGAAGACAGATTCCTTAACAACCGGGTTACTAACTTAACTGCAGTGATTCACTTAACAACTATGGCAGGAAAGGTCGTAAAATGGGGCAAGATTAACTGAACTTTCGCTTAACAACAAAAATGTTAGGTTTGATTGTGGTCATTAGGTTGAGGATTAGCTGTAGCATCCCCGAATGCCTAACAATCAATTACATTTAAATCAACGGCTTTGTTGAGTGCCGCAGTTTTTCAAGGCCATCTTTAAGTTTGCCTAGAAGACACTTAAAACATTAAAGGATGTAAACCAGAGGTGGTATTCAGCAGGTTCTGACCAGTTCTACAGAACCGGCAGCGGAAATTTTGAGAGAACTGGTAAACGCCACCTCTGGCTGGCCCCGTCCCCATCTATTCTCTGCCTCCCGAGTCCCAGCCGATCCAGAGGAAATGAGGATTTTGCAGTAGCCTTCCCCTGGAGCGGGGAGAAAATGGGAGATATTACAGTATTGTTCTCCTGCCATGCCCACCAAGCCACGCCCACAGAACCGGTACTAAAAATTTCTGAATCCCACCACTGATGGAAACGTGTCATTCCTGTCCATGTAATTCATTTATTTGGAAACTTTTGTAGGGATGCCTTCCTTTTCTTACTGAGCATTTTCTCCTCCGGATTCCCCAAAAGGCTCAATTCAAGAGTTTCGGAGAAATCCAAAGTAGGAGAAGAGTGTAAACTGCTTTTGTATTTGCGCAAACACAAAGCGGTTCCGGGGAGGTGGAGCCTAGGTGGAGATATGTGGGACATCTGAGTGTGTGCGCGTGTGTGTTAATGAAACAAAACATTTGATAATTACTGTTTGAGGGAGGAACTTGGGAGGGAGATGGATAGTTCTCATTTGTGTTTTATATTCACCCTGTTTTACATTGTGGACTTCACATTCAGTAGAGTTTCAGGTGACCGGAAACTTTATCTATAATCTCAGCTGGTGCAGGCCCAATGCCCAAGACAGTCCGGGAGCCTGGAGCTATTTGTGTGCGGCCAGCATCCTGAATTAAGCTCACGGTGATGCCGAGCCCTTTGGCCTCGTTTAAGAGCTGAACGAGAGTCTCCTCATCGGGCGCCTTGAGGACTACCTTGGGCTGTCCACAATATTCCCATTGCTTCAGAAGTTCCGGATTTCGGTGGTGGGCTTGCTTATAGGCCGAAACGGCGGCGTGGGCACATTGGGCTGCTACTTTGCCTTTGCCCATCTTCAGGTCATTCCGGACTATGATCACCATCTTGAATTCTCCGGACTCGCCCATTATACTGGCTTCGTTGCCCAGCTCGTTGGCCATCATAGTCAATCTGGATTTGGCTGGCCGGAAAAGCCGAGCTCGAATGCTCCAGCCCAAGCATATTCCACAGGTGACACCAGCAATTAAGCCAAAAACCCCAGGCCTAGCCAGGTAATCCATCACGCACCTGGAGAACAAGGAGGAAAGCTTAAGATTTCATGATCACAAACCTATTGTTCATTTAGTGAAAATTTGAAGTTGCAACAGTAATGGGAAAAAGTGACTTACGAGCGTTTTTCACATTTAAGACTGTTGCAACATCCCCAGGGTCAGGTGATCAAAATTCAGACGTTTGGCAACTGACTCATATTTATGACGGTTGCAGTGTCCCATTAGATCGCCTTTTACGGTCTTCAGACAAGCAAAGTCAATGGGGAAGCCTGATTCACTTAATAACCATGTTACTAACATTTAACAGATTAACAGAGTTGGAAGGGACCTTGGAGGTCTTCTAGTCCAGCCCCCAGCTCAAGCAGGAGAGCCTATAG